ATTTTGTCTATAAATCCACTGGGGCAAAAGTTAGCTTTCTTTAGCTTCTTTTAGTAATAATTTTTTTTTCTTTCTTTTTTTTTTTTTTTTTTTTTTTTTTTACAATTTCAACTTTTCTTTCAGATTCAAGTGGTATATGTGTACGTCTGTTACATGGGTATATTGCTTGACTCTGAGGCCTGAGGTATGAATGATTCTATCACCAAGTGGTGAGTATAATACCCAATAAGTCATTTTGTAGCCCTTCCCCCTTACTCCTTTCTTCCTGCCTAGAAGTCTCCAGTGACTACTCTTGTCATCTCTCTGTCCCATGGGTACCCAATGTTTAGCTTCCGCTTGGGAGAACATGCAGTATTTGGTTTTCTGTTTCTGAGTTAATTCACTTAGAGTAACGGCCTCTAACAGTATCCATGTTGCTGCAAAAGACATAATTTTGTTCTTTTTTATTGTGGCATAGTATTCCATATTGCATTTGTGCCACATTTTCTTTATCCAGTCCACCCTTGATGATCATCTAAGTCGATGCCACATCTTTGCTATTGTGAATAGTGCTGAGGTGAATATACAAGTGTGTGCATCTTTTTGGTAGAATAATATATTATCCTTTGGTTATACACACATTAAAGGGATTGGTGGTTTGAATGGTGGTTCAACTTAGTTCTTTGAGAAACTTCCAAACTGCTCTCCACAGTGGCCAAATGAATGTATGCTCCCACTAACATATCATTGCATATAAATTCACTGCTGCCACTTCAATGTGTCAGTTATTCTCATGTATGTCTGTAGTTGAGTTTACTAAACAGATAAATTGATTTGTGCTGTTGCTTGAAAACACTGTGTAGTTCCATTTTTTCTTTTTGTCAAAAATGCTATACTTATATAATTAGCTTTAAAAGTTCTTCTGACATCAGTAACCATTCCCTTTTCCCTGCAGCCTCACCAACATAGTCTGTATTTTCACATATTAATAATAGCCACTTTGACTGGTGTGAGGTAGTATCTCACGGTTTTCATTTGCATTTCTGGTTTTCATTTGCATTTCATTTTTGATGATTAGTGATGTTGAACATTTCTTTTCTTTTTTCTTTTGTTACATATATATTTTATTGTACTTTAGGTTCTGGGGTACATGTGTAGAACATGCAGGATTGTTGCATACATACATACATGGCAATATGGTTTGCTGCCTCCATCCCCTCATCACCTATATCTGGCATTTCTCCCCATGTTATCCCTCACCAACCTTCCTACTCCCTACTATCCCTCCCCTACTCCACCCAACAGACCCCAGTGTGTGATGCTCCCCTCCCTGTGTCCATGTGTTCTCATTGTTCAACACCTGCCTATGAGTGAGAACATGCAGTGCCTGATTTTCTGTTCTTGTGTCAGTTTTCTGAGAATAATGGTTTCCAGATCCATCCATGTCTCTACAAAGGACATGAACTCATCATTTTTATGGCTGCATAGTATTCTATGGTGTATATGTGCCACATTTTCCCTGTCCAGTCTATCGTCAATGGGCATTTGGGTTGGTTCCAGGTCTTTGCTATTGTAAACAGAGTCCCAGTAAACACATGTGTGCCTATATCTTTATAACAGAACGATTTATAATCCTTTGGATATATACTCAGTAGTGAGATTGCTGGGTCAAATGGAATTTCTATTTCTAGGTCCTTGAGGAATCACCACACTGTTTTCCACAATGGTTGAACTAATTTACACTTCCACGAAGAGTGTAAAAGTGTTCCTATCTCTCCACATCCTCTCCAGCATCTGTTGTCTCCAGATTTTTTAATGATAGACATTCTAACAGGCAGGAGATGGTATCTCAATGTGGTTTTGATTGTTTTTTCATATTTTTGTTGGCCACTTGTATGTCTTCTTTTGAGAAGTATATATTCATGTCCTTTGCCCACTTTTTAACAGTTGTTTTTTTGCTTGTTAAATTGCTTAAGTTCTTTATAGATTCTGGATATGAGACCTTTGTCAGATACATAATTTGCAAATATTTTTTCCCATGCAATGATTTTTCTTAGGAAACATTTTTCCGTAGAAAAATAAAACTAGATTTTTCTGTTAGCAGTGGCAGAAACTACTGGATGTCAACAAATTTAAAATGCAAATTTTAAAATCAATATTAAAATAATTTCTAATTTTTATGTACCGTATATCTACAAAAATGTTGAGTATTTTAGTATAGATTTTTATCAAATATCACACAAAATCACATTGCTCTGTTTCCTTGCCTTTCTGCAGAAACCCAGTGTGATTTTGTGAAGATATTTTGAATCATGAACACAACATACGCAGTACTATCAATGCAAGTAACCCAAATGAAGTGATGACAATATAAAACACTTGTGATCGAGTTCAGGAGTGTGTAGGCAGTGACGATTATGTTGTGACTGTCACCTGGCCAACAGTAATTCATTTTAAGTTGAATACCTGTTTCAGAAGTAGTCAAGCATAAAAACTTGCATACTACTATTAATGAAATACTTTCGTCTATAGTGCTTAAATGAGTTTCTGAAATATTAATTTTATAGGAAAACTTATGTTTACTTTTATTTAAACCTTAAAAATTTTAAAGACCATATATTTAAAAATAAATTACTTTCACAATAGAATCAATCTGTGGTCAATGATTGAATTAACTATTTTATGCTGGTTTTTTTTTGCCTAGGGTAACCTACAGTGCCTTCCACTAAACTGCTGCTCTCTTGCTTCGAGAAAGAATGAATAAAACTTTCAAAGTAACTCATAACTTTTTACAAAGAACTGAGAGAAGTCAACATAATACATATAAATATTTCAGACTTGATAAAAAAAAACAACATTTAATTACCTAAAGCTCTAGGTTGGGTACTTCGGGGAATACAAATAGGAATAAAAATATTTCAGGCCGGGGGAAAAAAAAATATTCCAGGCTGGGCACTGTGGCTCACTCCTGTAATCCCAGCACTTTGGGAGGCCGAGGCAGGCAGATCACTTGAGGCCAGGAGTTTCAGACCATCCTTGCCAACACGGTGAAAGATTTGGAAAGTCTTGAGAAGGAGGTGGGATTTGAATAAAGTCTGGAGGAATAATTTGAGAAAATATACTAGAAATAAATGCATTGAGGGTTTACTATTTTAGGTGCTACAGATACATAATCACATTAAATTCTAATAGGTATTATTATTCTCAGTTTACATATGGGGAAACTGAGGCCAGATAAGTTAATGAATTTGCTCAAAATTCCACAACCTATGCTGGTTCCATTTTTAGCGCAGCCTTTTCCAAGCCTTCTACTTTCCCTGAGACAAAGTGCAGAATGGATCCTGGAGAAGACTGGGTTGGAATTCTTTCTCCCTTACAGTTCTGATTTGTGTAAAGCACTCAACTTCTCTGTTTCTTAAGTTTTCTTATCAAGGAGATAACAACACTATTTTTCCAAGGAACTGTTGAGATACTTAAAGGAGCTCTTGCAAGTAAAACGCCTGGAATAGCAACTGGCACACAGTGCTCAATGGGTATTAGCCATGATGTTGTAACAAAAAGGAGAGGTAGGGAAGAGGGAGAGAGTAGAGAGTGAGGAGGAGGAAGAGATGAGGAAGATTTTCACCCACTCAAGTTGTCTCCTTGAGAAGTAGAGTGCATTCTGGAACAAGGGATCAGAATAGCAAATATGTAATAGGCAAAGACACATCTTTATCTGCTTTCTTACTAAAAATCTAGGAAATATGGGCAGGAGCTTGTCATGCTGATATCATTCCAGCCTAGATGAAAATTACTGGGAATATATGTTCCAATGGTTTTGACAGTAAACAGATTTTCAAAGTTTAATTTTTCTTTAGGTCTTTTTTTTTTTTTTTTTTTTTTTTGAGATGGAGGTTTGATCCTGTCCCCCAAGCTGGAGTGCAGTAGCAAGGTCTCAGCTCACTGCAACTTCCACCTCCTGGGTTCAAGGGATTCTCCTGCCTCAGCCTCCTGAGTAGCTGGGTAGACGCCCACTGTCACACCTGGATAATGTTTTGTATTTTTAGTAGAGACGAGGTTTTTCCATGTTGGCCAGACTAGTCCTGAATTCCTGACCTCAGGTGATCTACCTGCCTCTGCCTCCCAAAGTGCTCAGATCCTCCCAAAAGAACTGGATATTTGTTTTCTCTAGCAAGACAGAGCTGCTTCAGAGTCTCCCCAGGGAAGGATGGTGCTTTTGGGCAGGTAGTTTGGTGAAGGCGATGACTGAAGAATCCTAAGGGACCAGGCTCCTGGGAAGCCTCCCTCTTTCCGCACTTTACCAATTATCTCACTTTAATAATAAGGTCTGTGCTTTCCCTAATTGCTTCACTTCCACCAAAAGGTGCAGGGAAAAGATAAATACATTTCACCTTTTAACGAAGAGATTGTCAGGTAGTCTGTGGGAGACGTCTATATATTAATAATAATAATATTTTTTAAAAGCTGGTAGGGGGCGGTATCTCACACCTGTAATCCCAGCACTTTGGGAGGCCAAGACAAGTGGATCGCTTCAGGTCAGGAGTTTGAGACCAGCCTGGGCAACATGGCGAAATCCAGTCTATATCAAAAATACAAAAATTAGCCTGGCTGATAGTGCGCGCCTGTAATCCCAGCTACTTGGGAGGCTGATGTGGGAGGGCAGCTTGGACCCAGAGGTGGAGATCTCAATGGGCCGAAATCGCGTCACTGTACTCCAGCCTGAGGAGGAAAAAAAAAAAAAAAAAAAAAAAAAAAAAAAAAAAAAGTAGTTGGTCTGAACTCTCTTGCAAACAACTGAATTTTACAGACCCCTAGATATTCGGACGTCCACGAGGTTTCTTTAGAATCACCTATTTTCCTTCGCTGCCTCCTTTGTCACAGTCCAACTCAAACGGGAAATGCCCCTCCGGGATCTAACCACCACAGGTGCAAGAAGGAGCACATTTACATAGAAGCAGCCTGGGGAAATCAGTGCCCTAGATGAGTCTTCAGTTTGGGAAACGCTGAGCTAACACTGAAAGTACTTGGAAGAGTAATAGTAATAATCAGCGGGGCGAAGTTCCGCCCATTTGACATTCAACCCCCACGAGAGCGCACAGACAAACCTACTGGCGAGGAGGAGCCAAGACAGGGTCCCGGGCATCTCCGCCCCGGGAAGGTGGGTAATGCCCTCGTAGCTCTGGGCTCCAGGGCACGCCCTCGCAGCTTCCCCGGCGGGGCCCGGCGCCTCCCGGCCGAGGTGCGCCAGGTGGCGAGGGTGCCAGGCGCGGCGAAGTCGCGGCGGACTGAGTCAGTCGCCCAACTATGCTGCGGAACCAGGACGGCCGGCTGGGCCGCCCCCGCCGTTGAGCTCCGGCTGCCCCCTCGTGGGTCGCCGGCTCCCCGCCCCCGCGGGCTGAGAGGAAGCTGCGGCCCGGGCGAGGCGCGCGAGCACCTGAGCGAGGCGCGGGCGCCGGCTCGGCGTTTCCGGAGCTGCGCGCGGGTCCGCGGCCCGCGCTCCTCACCTCCAGGTGCGGCGGCCGCGGAGCGCCGGCCCCACTCACAGCGCCGCCCGCAGCAGAGGCGGCCGCGGGCAGCCGGCGGGGACCGGGAAGGAGGAGGCCCGGCGCCTCGGGGAGAGAGGGGCGAGGACCGAGCGCCCAGGGCTGGGAGAGACGCCGGCGCGGGGCTTTCCAGCCCCGCCTCACCTCGCTTTTCGAACTCTGCGGCCGGCGCGTAGGCGAGGGCCCGGGGTCTCGGGAGGGCTGGACCAGGGTGGGAGGACCCTGTCTGTCGGGACTGGGGCTTTTCGCCACTTCACAGGGTAGATTTTCAGAGCGCAAAGTGTTCCGCTCTGGTGTCCGCCCCTTGGATTTCGCTCCCGCGTGTGGGCGTCTGAAAGGGAACCAGAAGCCGGTAAGTGATACAAGAACTCCACTTCTGGGATTTGACCCGCGAGGGTGACGATCCGGATAGACAGCTAGACACTCCCTCCATTCCTCTCCCCCACCTTCCAATAAGAAGGGACTGGAGTGAGTTTCAGGCACCAAGTTATTTATTCTGTAGTGATCGTGACTTTGCTCGGTTCTCTGTGCTGCCCCGCACCCTGCTTGTTATCCACGTTAAGACTACTGGTCTGTTAATTAACTTTAATTAGGATCATTTGGCCTCCACCTGCCTGAACCCGATACCTTACAGGGGACGCTGTCGGCAGTGAATTTACCAGATTGATCTTTCTTGTTTACTTTTGGAGACAGTTCTCTTGGGAGAAATGGTGTCCATCCTATTTGATAAAGTAAGTTTTATTTTATCTAATTCTGGCTTGTTTTCTTAAACACTTCTCCCATCTTGAGGTGATCTGGAGTTATTTTGATTTGGGGAAAGGCTTCGTAAAATGATATAGCCTTTGATAGAGGAAAAAAATACAAGAAAATAAGCTAGATTGTGTGGAATAATGACATCTTAGGCTTTTGTAAATTAGATATCCTGATAGCAAGTTCTCTTTCTTTCTTTCTCTCTCTTTTTTTTTTTTTTTTTTTGCTTGTCCTCTAATCAGTGGGATACAGCCTTCGGCAAAAAAAAAAAAAAAAAAAAAAAAAAAAAAAAGAAGAAGAAAAAAATAGAAGTGTATTGGAAATAAGCTATTTTTAAAAGTACATTTAATAGAATGTCATTGTTATTACCCATAATTGTATTGTACTTACAAGCTCAGTATTGATTTCTTAGGCACTTAAGCACTCTACACCCCCACGGGCTTATGGAACCTTGCCCATAAGTAATTGGAAGATGAAGTTATGGGTGTTTTAAAAAGGAAGCTAACTTTTTTTTTTAAGCAAAAAAAAAAAAAAAAAAAAAAGAGAGAGAAATACCTTTCAACTCCTATTTGTGACTTCCATACTCCTACAGGAGAAATATTTAGAGAAAATGATCATGACATTCATTGTCCAACAAAGTTTAAAGGAGAAAAAAAAAGTAGGTCATGCAACTAGGCTAGGGTCTAAAGTGCAAATATCTTCCTGGCGTCATTCCAAACATATTTAACACGTACACATTTAAGGTGGTTCCTAACATGAAGAGGGTTTTATATAGATATGTCATTACTCAAAGATTTATTTAAATTAAAATGTACCTAGAGGGTGAGAGAGCTTGTTAAAATTTACCTATATGGGTGTGCATGGGTTTGTATTTTTTCCTTCCTCTGTAAACTTGTCAGATTTTATGTGGCTTGTCTGTAAAAGGAGAAGCTGATGATACATTAAAAACAAATTCTTGTTTTTCTCATATTACTGCAAGCTCCTTGCAGTGTATGGCTCATGGGCATGCAATAATAATTATCAGATCTAACTATTCTTGGATACTGTGGATAAGTATAGAACTCGGATTATAATGAATTACAGTGTTCTTAAGAACTTTTGTATTAATGCATTGAAACTATGAAGTTTTTGAAGCCTACTTAGGATGCTGGGTTATAGATGTCTTGATATGTGAGTTTTTTTGTTTTTTTTTTGTTTTGTTTCTTTCTAACCCATCTCCCTGCAACTATGAGAAAGTTTGGTGAAAGTGACTATAAAAATATTGAGTATAAATGATAGTCATTGCTTTAATAGTTTTCTTTTAGCACACATTTCCACCTGCCCCATTTATTTATTAATGCATCTCTTGGCTACAATCTTTGCACATGCTACATTGTAAGACTTTTGGGAATTCTTTGTGAAACATTAATTAGATAGCGAACTTCTTAATAATCTGGGAAATATGTCTTAGCTTTGACCAAATATGGTGGATGTAGAGGCTATGAGACGCTGTCATAATCTTTTCTGTAAAGTTCTGGACCTTGTAATTTATCATTTAGCTATTTCTACAGTATTGGCCAGATTAAATATATAATGGTAGTTAGACCATTTTGCTCATTTGTTTCTGTCTTGAACTGAGACAGTACTCAGTGGTATTCTCGTCAGATGATCATTTCTAGTTAGAAAGTTGTCCTGTGAAATTTTGTTTCAGTTTCTGTTCAGCACAAGCTTACTTATTTACCCATGTTGCAGAGAAAACAAAGGAGGCCTGATTTGGTTGAAGCAGTCATTTTGGGGAGCAGATTCGACATTTTTTTTAAAGAGTTCCTAAGAACTCATGAAGGATGATGGGGCCACTTCTCTATGTAATTAAAAATAAAACTATACTAAAATATAAAACAATGTGAAAATTAAGGTAATGAAATTGAGTTTTTCTCACCATTACAATTTAAGTGCTTTTTTTTTTGAATATATGAAATTATTTGCAAAAAGTTGTTATTGGTGTGTTTTTTTGGTATTCTTTATTGGCATTTACTGAGTAATAAGCTGAATTGTTCATATGCATGCCATTTTCCTTTTCTTATAGTCATGTCTAATGTACCCTTTTAGATTTTAAACTCTTGGAGGGAAGACTGTATCTTCACTTTCTTTCTAGTCCTTAGCACTCTTGTCAAATGAGATTGTAAATACTGTTATCCTGAACTCCAAATATCTCCCACTATTATCTTGGAGCTAGTAGTGTTGCTTAAATATTTATTGGATGAATACATGTAAAAACAATGGGTCAATAAGTTAGAAGATATTTTCTGAAGTAACTCTTTTTATAAGAAAAAGAAACTTGGACAGTTACTAAACCCATAGGAATAAACCCTGAAATTCAGTTGGAAAAGAGGTCAGAGTACTATTTATAAATGCAGAGAGAGGAAACACTGACTGTAGGCTATCTGAAACATCTGGTTGCTAGTTTAAAAATATGATTTACAGGCCGTGCTTGGTGGCCCAAACCTGTGATCCCAGCACTCTGGGAGGCCAAGGCGTGCGAATCACGAGGTCAGGAGATTGAGACCATCCTGGCCAACATGGTGAAACCCCATCTCTACTAAAAATACAAAAATTAGCTGGGTGTGGTAGCGCATACCTGTAATCTCAGCTACTTGGGAGGCTGAGGCAGGGGAATCACTTGAACACGGGAGGCGGAAATTGCAGTGAGCCGGATGGTGCCACTGCACTGCAGCCTGGTGACAGAGTGAAACTCCGTCTCAAAACAAAAACAAATGAAAACAAATATGATTTACATTCAGATAAATGGTGGAGTATACATTTGTCCCAAAGTTTTAAAATTCTGCTTTTGTAGAAACTCTAGAAGAATACATCACTCTCTGGTATCCCAAGAATTATAGCTCTTAACTTAGGTATCCATTAGAATTCTAAAAAAATTCTCAAATCTTAGTGAATTAACTTAAAGTCTGGACAGACAGCTTGAAAGACAAAAGACTTACAGAAGCTAAGGAGATTATCAAGCATTTAACTACTTTTGTGATATTATCCAGAACACCTAAACCTAGGTATCTCCTATGCTACTAAGTTCTTATACTAAGTAAAGGAATTAGCGCTTGTGGCCTTCACTGGATAGAAATTGACATTAAGTTCTAGCTTTTTTAATTGTGTTTTTCAGATTGCACTACAAGTAAAATAATCAAAACATAGCTTAGACAATCCTAACTCCTTGATCCAAGCTATGAAATGATTTTTCCCAGAGCCTACTTATTTTCAGCTAAAATTTCCATTATTCTCCATTTAGAAGACACTAATTAAATGCTTGTTGCTTAACAGCCACTGTTCTAAGATCTTAATTCATATGCATTCATTTCATCCTCAAAATAACCCCGTGAGGTGGGCACTAGTGTCATCCCTGTTTACAAATGACAACAGTGAAGGCTCAGGAGAAGAGAGGAATTCTCTCAAGGCCACGGCGCAGGTAGCACATGGCAGAGTTGGAATCCCTGGTAAATCACTGTGCTTTGTATCTCAGGTGTTAAGTCTTCAGGTGAACTTGTCATTATGCTAAAAACCTCTAACTACATCTATACATTACTATATTAATAAAACTGTGTTAACTGCTGTTAGGTGGGTTGCAGGTTTATTAGAAGAATGATTTACAGTGATAATTTAAAAGAATGTTATATTACTATGGAGACAGAAGAATTCCACTCAAACCAAGTACAATATAGTGGTATGAATATGATTAAAGGCAATACTGTCTACAGTCCATAAATTAATAATAGCCAACATTTATGATATAGTTGTAACTCATGTCAGGCGTTCTTACATATCTTAAATATTTTTACTTAATTCTGATAGAAATGCTACACGATATGGGTTATATTGCCCTCGTTTTACAAATGAGGATTCAGGGATGTTAAATAACTTAATGAAGATACACAGTTGAAAAGTGGAGAAGCCTGGATTGGATTTCAGGCATCGTGCTATCTATACTACTGCCTGAGTGGAACTAATAAGGGATTGAGAAGGGATGGGTTAGGTAGGGAAACCTCATGAATGTGGGGTTACTGTACTTGTGAGACTAGAATTGGCTCCCAAAGGAGAGAAAATAGTCCGGGTATGTACAGGGAGATCAGTTTGAATAAGAGCTGAGAGTCTGGCCCAAATCTTCTAGTCTGTCTTCTGATCTCCTATTTTACTGGGTTAAAAAAAAAAAAAACCACCATAAAATTTACCATCTTAATCATTTATAAGTGTATAGTTCAGTAATGCTAAGTATATTTACATTACTGTGAAACAGATCTCCAGACTATTTCCAGCTGGTAGAACTGAGACTCTGTGCTCCTTAAACAACTCCTTATCTCTCTTCCTCTCTCAGATAACCATAGTTCTATTTTCTATGAATTTGACAATGGTAGATACCTTATGTAAGTGGAATCATGTATTTGTCTGTTTTATGGCTAATTTCTCACATAGCACAATGACCCTCAAGATTCATCTGTATTTTAACATGTGACAGGACTTCATTTCTTGTTAAGACTTCCTAGTATTTCATTTTGTGTATATATCACACTTTCTTTATCCGTTCATAGACATCTGGGTTGCTTCCACATGTTATTT